CATCCATATTTATTCAATGATTTCAAGATCTACTTGATTACGCTTGAGATTATCAAGTGTACATCTTGTTTCGAATAGTTTCACACAAGCAAACATCCGGCATAAATAGATGTACAATGCAAAAACAACTTGAGTCTAGTTATATGGTGTTTTTCATACTATTAACCTCATTTTTATTACAACTGATAGTAAAGAATTCATCAATAGGCAAAGTTTTTAATTCAAAATTATTCCCTAAACATTATGAATTAACCAAACTGTATAAATATTCATTATGCGGAGATTATCTGTTTCCCCTTTTTTCAATGAGAGCGTGGTGTGTACTACTGATGTCAATTGATATAAGTAGCATATATCATCAATCGAAAGTAAAATGCCTGGTGGCACAAGATCGAAGAAAAAAGAACGAGAACAGAGAATGATTGGTGTGGAAACGAAGGGAGAATGAAGTCTGGGACAGTTGATTGAAAGTTTGCAAATGAAGTATTTACTGTATAATTTTCAGATTTTACTGAGATGTTCTGTAATTTTATATTCAAATACGTTAGATTGTCCCGAATTATGTTCTCGTTCACTACAAAAGTACTTGGTATACCAACATGTATGAAAACGATTAGAAGTGCCAAATAATTGGAAACTCTAAAATCACTAATGTAAAATGTCTACTTATTTTGCTAATTATCAGCTGCATGTTAATCGTTAGATTGAACCTCCCTTGTTCTTTTTTCTTGAATCATATCATAACGCATGCTTTGTTATCAGAAGGGGTTTTTGAAGATGTCATAGTCATTTAATGGTTGAGTTCACAAATCAATTAAAGCTGGACCACCATAGAAAACCTTGAAGCCATTCACTAGTGGGCACAAAAGGTATTTCTTGGAGTTCTGGTGAGAATCACTGACCATTGGAGTCCAATCAGGTCTGCTGTTATGTAGTTACTCACTGAAGACAATGGTGGACGATGGCTCAATTTCATAGATTGGTCGATGTTAGATACTAACACTGTTGGGTGCCGGTTGGTAGAGTGGTCTAGAGGTTAAGCGTTCGCACGCAAGATAGATAGTTCTTGGGCTCGAATCCCTTTGGTTTGAGACTGTGGATGCACGCTGCTGTGGAGTCTCACACTAGTACGAAACTGCCGTCCAGTACTTTCAGGTTTTACATGGTGGACTAGTTTCAATTGACTCATGAACTCAACAAGTTCTTTTATGTGACATTAAATAAAAAAATGTAGTTTGCTATTCATTCTCAAACTACATAAGGTAGTTGTGAATTTTTAAGATGACTAACCATAAAACTGTTACACAAACCATATAAATTTCAGAAACGTTTCTCTGTTAATTGACATTTTCCAAAAATGTCTAATCATACGTATTTGTGATGGTTACTTTTCTCAAAATGTCTTCTTCTCAATATAATGTCAACTTTTAAGTCTTTCTTAAGTTGATCACTAAAATCACTCATGTTAATCTGAGTATTCTAATTCATAATGAAGTTGTATCCGCTAATAAAACATGACAAATATGAATAGATCAAGATTGAATGGAACATGTGATCTTGACTTAATGTATATCATGTGGTCTTATTACTGAGATGATTATAAATACAAATGAATCCTTCAACAGAATATCCGGAGTTCGCCTAACTACACATAGATTTATTACCAATGTTCTTCGTTACATTGATTCTGATCATATCTGTTCAATCATTTGGTAAATCAATCCGGGAGTTTATTTTTTGCTTTTGTCTTTTTAAAAAAAACTACGATAATTTACATTTAATGTCGTTTACTGGTGTTGATGATTATGTTATCTATCAAAGTTTCTAATGCATTAGGCATGTTACACATAGACATTTAGTCCCTTCCTAAAGTCTAAACTACATCAGTTAATAAATTACATTAATGTGTGCGGTGAGACTATAATTTATGAATGACATTTGAGCGAAGCCATACTAACCTTGAAAGTATTCACCTAGTAACTAGGACTAAATGAGGATTATAAACCAGTGTGAGGAATTCGAATTATGATTTATAGTTGATGGTTAAGGTTAGGAATTAGATTTAGGGTTTTCATCACGAACTGACACCATTTATAAAGTCAAAACTCTTTTTAGCCAACTGGATACATGAATTTCGAACCAAAATCAGAGATCTGTTATCTTATACCTTGGTTGGTTCATCCATAAATTATAGTCTCGCCATGTGTGGAAAATTTTATTCAGTGACATTTCGACTGATTGTCTATTCTTTTGTATCATATTAATAGTTAATCTGATGTTGGTAATTGAACTGTTTTTTAGACTGTTCATTGGCATCACGTAAGTTATTTGATTTTAGATTAGTTGTTTTACTTTATTTATGTAAATAAGAACAGTGAAATACGAGGAATTATAATGGGAATATGCATGGGTAATCATAATGATTGGATATTTTAGGGATATTATTCTGATAATTAACAAGTGTATATACTTTCCATTTATACACTGTGTACTTATGAATAGTAATAATATAATTTTGAATGAAAAAGTCATGATTCACCGCAAACAATACTTTTTAAAGCAAAAATGGATAGTGGCTAGCAGTGGAATCCAGGACAGGTGTTTCGTCCTACTTCGGACTCGTCACTTGGACGTACCTATATCTCAGATTTGATGTTCATTCAGAGACTGTAACCCAGTACCGTTGGTTTCAAACTTCATCGAGTTACCTACTTAGCTACTGACTTCTGGCAGCCACTTACTTGTGCAATGGGGTGGAGTTTAAATTCACTTGGTATTATTTATTTGAATCTTCCTATTAATGTTTAGAACTGTAATTGATCAGTCTCTTATTGGTATATTTGCATACTAAGCGTATTGCCTCGATATTGCCTTAATTCATAAGCATTCTAAACAAAGACTGATAGTGGCCAGCAATGGAATCCAGAATTTACTGATCATCACATAGTTGAATTGAAATTTTACACTGATTTTACACCTCAATAAACAGTTTCCCATTATTTCACTATTATGCCTACATTTCTCATCAACATTTCAAGACTTCTATACACTTCGCTTACCAATTTTCTGATCAATGTTAACATAACAGGGAAAATAATCTGTCATCGAAATGAAATTGGTGATAAGGATTATCTCGATGGTAACAAATAAGCACTACAAAGCAACTTATCAAGAATGTAAAATGTAGCTATATTCACCTAGAAATTGATTTTTGGTATTGTTCTTTTTGGATGCTACTTAGGGAATACTGATTCATTCATTTTATGAAATCATTTGATCCATGGGAAAAGTTTCTGCAATGTGTTAGTTTCTTTCTCAGAATGGTTTATTATTGAGTGACAGTTGTCATAATGAAATGACGATATTATCATGAAACGCTAAAAATGTGATTCATTTTCATTGTGAATGATACATTCATGATACATCTGATTAGCTATTACAGTATGTTTTGACAATAGTAATCGTTATCCCTCATCCTATCAAGTCATCATAATTGAGTATGGTAACTAATACTCTTTCATAAAAGCAAATATTCACTAACATGTCTCACTGTACTCTAACGCTCTAACTTGTTTCGATTACATATATAGCTACTGACAAATAACAAGTGATAGGTTAACATAGTATAAAGATGTCAACGTTTAAGGGAAACTGAAAGACACAGTGACCAGTCGCACTTCATACTAGTTTGAGCAAGTGACATAATTTTTCTGTTTAATCTATTCTTTATAACAATTTTGTAGAAATTCAAATGCTTGCAAGGATACACTACAGAAGAGATGAAGAATATTCATTTCGAATAATGGAATTAGAGATCCAATATCCCAACGAAATGTGAAAAACCATGAACTCTGAGTTGAAATATTATTAGTCTTTTAAGTCATCAGCTTAACTTATGAATATAATCCTTAACTAATGATTGATACGTTTTACTGTTGAAACAACACTCACGTTTTTTTTGGGATTTAGATCAAATTAGTAAGTTACTAAAACTTTTTGTCTTACAATTTCTATCTAACAAATTGAACTTAACTACAAACCGTACAATCATATTACTTACTTAGAATGATTTAAGATCTGTGGACAGTAATTTCCACTCATATTGGTTAACAATAATGATTTATTGAATGTATCATCGAACGTTTCATAAATTTACATAATCGAAGGGTGTTTAGTTATGAAAATAAAAACTGAAATTTGCATAGCAACTACAGAATATGTTTCAGTCTTATTGTTGTATACATATATCTTCAGGTAACTTAATACTAACAATCTAAGTAAATGTTCCTCATGTATTTTGTCGAACTAATCGATCACATATGAACACAATCAACTTTCTTGTATTGAATTGTGGTTTGATTTTTTGTTGTTTAATCGGATGACATTAAGAAAATATTTTGCTGCAAACGTTCATTAACTGATGTGGTGAGACTATGATTTACGGACGACCTTGGGGCGAAGCTAGACTGACCTTGAGAGTATACGCCTAATAACTACGACCAAATGAGGGTTATAAACCAGTGTGAGGAATTCGAATTATGATTTACAGTTCATGGTTAAGGTTAGGAATTAAATTCAAGGTTTTTATTACCAACTGACATCAGCTATAATGTCGAAACTCTATTTATCCAAATGGATGAGTGAATTTCGCGCCAAAATCAGAGATCTGTTATCTTATTACCTTGATTGGTTTGCCCATAAATTATAGTCTGTAAAGATGACATTACATTGTGTTTTCTTCGACATTCGTATTGATGCATATATGATCTGATAAGAAATGTTCAGCAACATCACGAAACACTTCAGATTATGTGATTTCTAGGTTATTGATTTGTACAAATGAACGCACGATCTTTGATTGATGTAATCCTTAGGTATCTGAGTTGAATCGTGTTAGATGTAGTAAAGGCAAGATCAACTACAAATCACACTAAGTTACCATAGTAAATCAGTATAGAAATTGAAGTGGTAGTTCAATAATGAACGAAACAATCATTTAGATCTGAATGATAATTTAAACAATGGACAGATTGTAAAATATTCAAAAATAATAAAATCAACTGAATGGACTTTAAATGAAACATTATTTTTTAACTTTTTATTAACAGAACAAGAATGTAAGTCCCTTTATAATAAATTGGTTTTGCTATTTCAACTATAGACTATTACAAGTCAAGTAAACTTTGACTGAATTCATTTATAAACCCATTTTTAAATTTAGGTGTAACACATTGTGAGGGACGGGGTAAGTTAAATAAGTCATTATTCTTTATGTTGTAAGTGCCTTTCATCTTGTTATGCTCCACTTGACTTCCAATTTCACTGTACATCAAAGTTGATAGTAGCGTTGTTTATTATTATTTAATTAAGTAATTGGATAAAATAAAATAGTTTTATGTTTTAGGTTTTCGGTTCTAGCATGTGGAATCGTGGATTTATAATATTGTGGAGTCCCAATCAGGGACGAAACGCATGTCCAGTGCTTCCTAATTTTCACTAGTAGTATGAGTTACAACAGTTCATCATTTCAAATGAAATAATAAAGATATTCGCGAATTATTATGCTAGAATGCATTAAAAATTTGAACGCCCATAATAACCATAATTTTTCTAACATTGTTATGATTTTCATCGGTTGCTAAATTTACGATTAAGACTTTATCAAAGCAAATTAAATGACGGAGGAGACCTGGATATTCGAATCAACTGATGAATGTCAGTAGAACTATATAGCAGTTTACTGGTTAATGGATACCTCCAAGTAATTTAGATTTATGTAACTGGTTTCGTCTATATAGTTTTGCTGTTATTTATTCAAGCACACAGTGTCTACATCATAAATCACATCTTAAAATGATAGCTTATAGTCTTCAAAATCTATTTCAACAACCTATGTTCGAGGCTTTACTGCGAATGCATTTCAGTGATGTTTAAATAACTATAATTACTAATAAAGCTGCTTATGAATTCCTGTTATTACAGATAAATATGTGACTCGAAACTGTAAGTATATTTGGAGATTTGATGAAGCATTTCGAATAAGAGTTCTATTTTGTATAATATTCTTATTACTCAACACCTTATTTTGTCTGTGAAGTGTGAAGCAGTTATGAAATATCTGAACGAGAGTAGTAGTAGTGCAATCTCAATGATCTAATTTGACTTATGAAAATTTATTTCAAACCAACTTTAGTTTGTAGACAGCTAAGGTGCTTTGATCAACTGTAAATGGATCAATCATTGAACAGCACACATTCGTTAAGACGAAATGATCCAAACTAACAACAATCGGTTCTTAACCCATGAGCAAACAGTTGAGTTAACTGAAAAACTCATGTTTTTCTTTGTGAATAATTTAATTCATAAACTTAAAGTCCTCATATTAGATTGTTCAAATGGTTTCACGAATGACAAATACCTATAATCAGTATTTAATTATACATCCTCATTGATTACAAACTCATTTTTGATGTATAAACTCATCTTTAAGGTGGTGGTCTGTGTTCTGAAGGTACGTTATTTTTATTAAGCCGTTTTACATTGTAATCTATGTTGTCATGATACCATTGTCACTGGCTAAAATGATGTCATTTTTCTTCGACGACCGTTTGTGATCTAGCTTACCCTCAACAATTTAGTAACTAACATTCATCATTTACACGATATGGATAATGCGATAACGTTTTCAAATGGTGTACTAAACAGTTGTTTGTACAGTGGAATACCTATAGAATGTGGTTGTGTGATACACACTTACAAACTGGTGCTCAATAATACCCGAAAGATTTCAAATCATTCATTCACTACAAATATGAGAATGGTCAGCCACTCCATAAAAAATGTGGAAACGTCTTGCACGATTTATCCTTACCTTCTTTCATAAGAACACCATACTTTGAGATAAGTAATAAACACAATGGCTACACTAACTGATTAACTAAAAAGTCACAAGTTCGAAACGATATGAATGGTTTTGAAGGTTAATCAACAACATAGTGAATGTAATTGTACAGTCTTTTATTCAGTTCTGTTTTACAACATAGGTCTTTGTCTTCTGACATGATGCTATGATAAGGTAATCGATGGATAAATTCTTTTCTTCTTTTGATATTGGATCCACTATGTTTGTTCAAGCTGTCCTCAATGTAAATTAAGAATAATAAAATATGAATATCCGATTGTTATCTTTGTAATGTGGCAGGTACAGACGACGTTAATTAAACACAAATCGCGTTTGTGTGTAAAACGGAATACTTTATGAAGCACGTTCGTATCATCTATACATTCTTCGTGACCGAAACAAGTTTGTTAAGTCGATGTACCTTTGAAATATTCATTATTAAACGACTGTTCCAAGTGGATCTTTTAACTTCGAGAATAGTTATACAAATGTCTAATATTACGTTGTCTTCAATTTTGTAAACGAATAAAATGATTCCATTCATATATTAAAATAAGTGATTATCAATTTGCTTTAATGTATAGACACAGGAGCTCAAAAGTTCTATTGTAAGTATGATATACCTTTTCTTTGTTTAAATTATTTCAAATGAGAGCTCTAAGAAATCTTTAAGTATTTGACTAATATTCGCAAGTCGGTGAATGCACTTACGGATCGTTGTGTTTCGTGTGCTAAAATTGTTTAATTGTATAGTGGAAGTTTGGTGAAACGTCAACCTTGAGCAACCTTTACATCAGTCATGAAAGAATGGCTAGTTATTTTATTAAAAAAAACAAATAAGCATACAGTGGAAATACGTTTTTAAAATGATCGACGAACGTTTTTAAAAACTGGAGATGAGTTTCATTCATGAAGTAAATTAATCAGATAGCTACTACCCATATCTTTGATTTAGATTAGAAATATTCATTTCATTACTGAAAATATGTGCTCCATAGAGGATGTATAGTCTGATTCGAAAAAAAAAGAAATCGACAACTCAGAAGCCTAGTATAACTTATTTGAAGGTCATTTTATTGATCTAATAATTCACTTGAAAAGTAATTATTACTATGATGATCACTTCTACTGTTAAATAATTCGTATTTTGTGAAAGTATTTCAAGTGTGTATTTCTTCTGTTCAACCCATCCATAGGACGTTTCAATTAACACATACTTTCCGGATCATTCACATAGTTAGACAATCAAATTACAATAAGTAATATGACCATCGAAGTGTTTACGTTAAAGAAAATAGTACTGTTACTAAGACGGATTAAATATCAAAATGTATTCTGGTAAATGTGTAATTCTGAGATACTAATTGTGTAGTTCATATTATTTATATTCAAAATACCGATATTATTATTTTTGTAGGTTTTCTCGCATGTGATCATAATGGTATGTCTTCTTACTGTTTAATCGTTAAATCTGTTAGACTAATGAAAGAATATACAATTAACCAGTCAGATATTTAGAATAAATGAGTTGTACCTCATTATGAAGGCAATGTATGAGTATGATGATTTTTTGAACTGATTTAGTGGACGATCATGCATCTCAGTTTTGATGTTTACATAAGGATTATTGTTCAGTGTTTTCTGATTCACACATTGAAAGCGATTTCCATCTAGTGACTTTATGGATAAATTGAATATGTGAAGCACAAATTCCAACAATGGCTGACTGGAACACATTCTACCATATTAACAACTTAACAATTCATCCGATTACCATTAGTGATATATGATCAATGATATCGCATGACTAATTTATTTACACAAAAAAAATGTTGAACTGAGAAACTTAGTTCTACGAATAATCACAGTACACATTTGAAGCATGGAATTGAAATCTATTTTAATTTTCATAACGAATGGTTCCAGTCTAACAAACCGTACGCAATTCATAGATTTGCTAAACTAAACTGCTTATTACAGAATGACTGTAAAACGGTAATTACTACTTTCGGAAAAGGAATAAAAAAAAACTGAATAAACCTTCAATGCTTTGTGCAACTAACCTCAAAATAGGCGATCTGATTTTGCCTGAAATAAGACATAGGTGACAGATATCTACCTTTACACTTTTGATGAAGTATGAAGTTAAGGAGAGAATATAAAGAGCTATTCAGTATCTTATAGTTTCAATCGATTTTCCCAATCTATATTTTTGAATTACTACAAGAAATATTGGAAGAAAGCAAAAGTACATGAATTTTGCTCGTTTTTGAAAGTTCTCGATTGAACCGGATATATATTTATTCGCATAATTGAGCTGCATTTGAATTCAAGGAAATTGCTTATTTAGTTTTCCAAATTATATTTATTAGTTCCAGGTGATGTTACTTGTTGGATTGATAAACACTAAGATGACTTCAATGTAGTATTTAAAAGTCAATCGATTGCTTTACTATTTCAGCCACTAAGGAAGAAGATTTTAAAGAATGTAAGTTTCGAAACTGATATACCCAGCTTCTGCAGTTATTTCTCATGTTGATTAATGAACAAAGCATTTATCCGCATTCTCATTTCGTTTACGTAAGAAAGTTGTCTCATCTTAACGTGATTCCCTTCTAGCAAACTTTGATTAATATGAACGTTGACAAATTCTAACTTACATCATTAACAATACTGTTCCGCATGGTCAAAGGTGAATAGCGACTGACTTATTTATTTAGGTGGCAATAGAAATGAGGGAAGTAATGAAATATTTGTGTAAGATATGAAACCCATCATTTCAGTATCTATTAGCTGGTTAGATAGAAATTTAAGATATTTGTTGTTGTCAGTTCGCAAGACTGTACTAAAATGCTCATTGCACGAACCAACAAGATTATGTCATACACACCTGATCCAACCACTTGGATTCGATGTAAATTATGATTTATTTAGTGGGTTAGTTGATTAGTCATTGAACAATTGGAATTACAGCTAAACTATCTATTTTTTTGCAGGTATAAAAAGGTGTAATGGTAAGTGAGAATGAATCAATAATGTCAGTTCCATGAAGTTTCAGTCCACATATTCCATTTACTTTTATTTTATTATTAATACGGAATTCGCTTTTATTGTAGGTGGTGTTGATCTTACCAAGGAAATGTGTAAGTACATAAATTATTCATTTTGCTATGCGTGCACAATAATCTTTAAAACTTGCCCTGAAAGCAAATCAATAAATTGTGACACAAATGGGTATATGATGTTCTCATTTAAACAACCTACAAATCATATTTGATTCAATTTTTTCTGGTCCAAAAGCTGATAACAGAGAGCCAGTGATTAGTTAGCTAAATACAAGGTGCTCTCTCTATACTGAATTGTTCGATTTTATCAGACTTTCCACAACAAAATATTAATAAGACTGATGGCTGATATAAATAAGATCATGCCTATGTCATTCCATCCTGACAATAAGTCTAGTTTTATGGCATGAAATGTATTGCTCTGAGTCAGAAATGACAATGGTGATTCAAACTGACGTGCCGAGAAGGTATGTTTAATGACTGTTTCAGGTTCAAAGTGATAGAACAGATTAAACGTCGTTATGGTGGTGATCGGAATTGCGTAATAGGTAAATCCTTTCCTCTCATAGTAGTATTTTTTTCAGAATTTCATTCACTTACGGTTCTACACGAGTGGCTTGCATAGACAGACATGGTTACTTTATGTGACCTCATGCTTTTTATATTAACGATACTATTCAATATACTCAGTGATATTCTTGAGAGGAAAATTTCGATCTGTCACGATAGGACGAGTCAGTATTGACAATGATTTGATTTATGGACTAAATAGTCATATCATGGCAAGTTCAAATTATTGATTTAATTATTATTCTAGTAACACAAATAAGTGCAGATATACCGATTTAAACCCAAATCTTACATACTAGCTAGTAAATAAATGAAATTTTCTTGAATGAAAATCAGAGTTTTACACTTGTTTTTCTATCTGCCTAACACTCTTTAAGGTATGAGTAACTGTGGGGTTGTTAGTAAGTTGTTTAAATTTGTGCCGAATATCCTTATCCATAAATTAATATATAGTCCATTTTATACATATTTGTGCTATTATTATTTTCAATCTTGATCATAAAGGAAATGCGTACACTGGTTAATTCACTTTATCGACCAACGTGAATAACAAAAATCCTCTCAAATCCAGCTGTTCAAGGAATTAACCGATTTAGCGTTATATTTATTTTATGTATCACGTTAGTTTTTAGTAGTCAGATGATAATATTTTATCTGTAAGATTGTTTTATCGCACGCTAAAACTGTTACAGGATTCAATAAAAGACGGTGGTTTAGCGTACATATTGAGAGCTTTGGATACTGTTGAGCCTGACTGCTTATTACTGACTTCGGTAGGTCGAGTGATTGCTTATTTTTGTCACATTTGTAGTCATATGTTTAAACAGTACCGAGAAAGCGGTCAGTTGTGTTGTAGTACACAATCCTTCTAATCCATCTTGAAACAAGGACCAAGGTGTTTAGAATATGCGTTTGTATTGTATGCAATTTTGTGGATGAGGAAGCTTTACAATATTCTTACCATCAATCTTAGTCCAATAGATAAATAAAATTATATCATTAGAATGATGTTTGTAAATTATGTTCTAAGGAATACAGCTAATTTGGCAATGTTGTAATATGATCTCACGAAATTTAGAATAAACTATCCTGTAACAATTGTCTTACACAGGATAGAAGAAGGTTCAACAGTAGTGTTTTATTTTTGAAGACATATACATAAAAAAATATCCTATTCATATTATTTCATTTCCAGCCAACCACGATGAAGTTTGTAAGTTACACATCATTCTTAAACTGTTGAAAGATGGATATAAAATTGTTGTGAAATTTTCAGATAGAACATAAATTTTTCGATAACATGATTTAACACTGACTGACCGATTACGAACGAGGATCATTTATAGATCAGTGAAACTATAAATGTTCAGGTCTATCGATAAAAGTTTACTAACTACAAGAAAAATGAATGACAGTGACCAGCTTCAAAATACTTTTAATTCCCACAGCACTTAAACTTACACAGTGTATGAATACCCGTAGTTAAGTATCTTTTTTCAGACAATCCATATACAGAAAAAGGGTAAACACTTATAGATAACTACAAAATTATTGGGTAAATCACATTGGTAAAGAACAAATGAAAGTTATCTTATACATACAAATGAAAATATATCATCATGATTGGTTGCAGTGAACTATATAGTCAAAGGAAATAAATATCCTGGTAGATTCGGTCTGGTTTTTGATTGTGAAGTTGACGGTCGTTTGTATTACTTCAAGGATCTTGTCTTGAATAGGTCATTTCCAAATCACTTTGAACGTGTAAACTAGCGTGAGACTAATGATTATTTTATTATCTGTCAATGCTTTCAAGAATAACTATTGTGTTGTGCAAGTGGTCCTAATGGAATATGTTAATATGTGACAGTAGGAATTAGCTTCACACTGTAGTAGGCGTCGAGTCGCGGTTGATTATGATCACCACTACAGGAAGACTACGTGCCAGTTACTAGGTTAGATCCCTCCGTAGACCAAATATCAGAAGGTAATTGAAGATTGTAGTAAATATATTTGTTGGCGATCTCGTGGTATCGAAATAATACTGAGATCGTGACGAAGTTTACAAGCGGGACTATGTAGCGTACGCGAGTTCGTGCAAGGTCACAGACAACGGAAGAATGTGTGTCTTTAGTACACTTAAATAAATAAGTACAGTAAAACAATCACTGGTACAGTTGGTTATAATAATAACTGTTTCCATTATGCCAATCGCTTTCTTTTCATTAAAGTAAGTCACTACAACACCATGCATGTTTACTTAGTCATCCACATTAAATAATTTAAACAATCATTTCAGGTGATATCGTTTGCGGTGGAAGTAAGTTCGCGAGTATTGGAAATATATATGAGTTAAAAACTGTTAATATAAAATATATGTCTATTGAAAGATTTAAAGATGTTTCATGGGAGAAAAACTGTTGATGAACTTGAGAGGAGTGATGGATTTACATATGTGAAAAGGATATCAACAGAATCTTACTGTTAATTATGTAGACGATACTATATGCAAACGTATTATCTGAGTGATTAAATCAAAGTGTCTGAAATGATGTTTTACTCAAATATTTGAGTTGTCTATTCATTGTTCTTTGAAAAATGATTCGAGAAGTTTCAGAAAACTGATTTCTGCATTCAAATATCAGGGGATATCCATTATTGCTGTAGAGATGATTTGGACTTTTCAGATATCACAGTCGAACTTCTAATGCCAGTCCACTGGATTCCGTTTTCCATATTTTCTTTGTTCAATTTACAGAAATCTTAAGGTGATTTCTATATTCCGCTTTCAACATTTTACAGATAATGGAGGCTTATTTCCACTGTGTAAGTCATTTTTTATGGTAATTTTGATGCAAAATAAGTGCGTGTAAAATGTCTTAACTGTTTAGTTCTGTACTGTTCAAATATAATACTTCAATATGAACAGAATCTAAACGTTAATCAACTCAAAACCAATGGATCGACAATCTCCAAACGTATTCTGTAACAGCTGAACCACGGAACCAGATATGTCAATGGTTAGTCTCAAATAGATTAACCTGAGATGAATATTATGCAGTATAATATAGTTGAAATTTCTATTAAGCAATAACTATAATTTTGATTGAGCAATAAAAAGGTGCATTTGAGCCGTAAATTTAGAAAAATTCGGTTACACATGACAAATTGTTTCTGTAGGGGGTGCGGACTAGCTAATAACCGAACCTAGCCATTCTTTCCTCACAGTTTCTAATAAAATTTCAAAGGCTATACTTAACATTAGTTCTTTGTCTGATTTTGATTGTAGTTTGCTATTGATTCACGCGGTTTTCTCTTTTCTATGTTTATCGAATCACTTAAAAGCATTTAATTTTGAAGTTATATAGTCGCCTTCTGATAACTTATCCGAATTTATGTATGTCTTAACAGAACCTCGTGAAGTGGTTTCTACGGTGGACCTCGACATAATCCTTCACAGTGTATATATCTTTGTGTAAACATGAGCTAAGTGTACTAAATAATAACCGATCGGGAAGCGTATTATATTAAAACAGAAACAAAGCACAGATACTGATTATTAAAATTTGCTTGACAATATTTCCTCATTAATCACAGTAAAACCACTTGATCGACAAAACTCCATTTCAAATAGGTTTTTTTCAAAGTTCAGTAATGATAAATAACCAGACAGTTTGAATAATAATGGGTGAGACAATGATTTATGGACAACTTTTGAGTGACGCTAAAGTGACCTTGAGAATGTTCACCTAATAACTAGGATTAAATGAGGATGGTAAACCAGTGTGAGGAATTCGAATTATGATTTACAGTTGATGGTTAAGGTTAGGAGTTATATTCAGGGTTTTCATTACGAACTGACATCATTTATAATGTCAAAACTCTATTTAGTCAAATGGATGAGTGAATTTCGCGCCAAAAACCGAAACCTGTTATCTTATACCTTGATTGGTTCGTCCATAAATTATAGTCTCGCCTAATAATGCTTTTCTTCAGAGTTCTCCAGTTATATTGTCAGTAATTAAATGAAAGTGGTTTACATTTAGGTTTATATAATTGCGATCAAGCACGTAAGTGATACAATTGAATTTAGACATTTATAATATTATGCTATAGAATGATTATGTATGACACTACCTAAGATTCATTCACCGATATCAATGATCGTAAGCTCAACAAGAAGATTCAAATAGTTCTGTTTGTTGATCTGATCAACTACATAATTGAACTCAACAATGTCTCTGAATCACAATTTTACATTTCTGATATACATATAAAACTTAATTAGAGAATTTCTTTCTTATAAAACCGATTCCGGCAACTATTTGTAACTGTGTTAAGTTCAGGCGGTGAAAGAATCTATTTATTGTAATATATGATTAATTGAAATTATTTGATTTGGACTAAGTTAGTCCTTGAATTGTATCATATAAGATGTACATTTCTGCAAAAGGGAAAAGATATGTAAATACTGTTGTTGCCAGATATTCAACTCTTCATTATCTTGTTTACTTTTAAAAATACAGATCCAAATGGATATGAAGGGGGTAAGCTGCCTTCTGTTTATTACCAAAGTTTTCATTAATGGATTTACTTTTGGCCTTATAAGTGTCTATCAGAAGAGTTTCTCTTATCCCCATTTATATTAAACAGTAAATTCGTGGCCTCCTTCCTAACATAAGAATGTTTAAACAAAATCGAAAGTGATTTATGTAAATTAATTGAAATCGTGTTAAAAACTGAATCTTAAAATCACTACAAATCTCAACTCCAATCACAGCAGCACATATAAATACTGAAAGACCGTTTCGTTTGTTCGCGCGAAGATCGACGGTCGAGGGTTTGAGTCTCGTGTGCAGGATCGTGGGTGGATGCGCACTACTGGAGAGTTCCATATTAGGACGAAACGGTCATCTAGTACTTCCAGTTTTTTTAATTATGGACTAGCTTAAATAGACTCATGAATTCAACTATTAAAATTTCATTGTTAATTGTTTCATGTCGACATTACTAGATGTCAGTGATACAGATTATGCAAATAATTACATAGGATGTGCTTAATTGGTTGTCTATCAGTTAAGAACATATATGCAAACACTATTAATAAAATGTGAGAACAGGTAGATGTCACTATACACAGTCAGCAATGAGTAGTAGAAAATTGTTAATAAGTTACTCGGTATCTGCTTGGAAAAAGTCTAAGAATAGCCAATTACGATTCTTCACAACATTCAGTGGCTAGTGACAATAATATGGACTGAATTCATATAGACTCTCAAGTAGTGGTTAACGATTTAGGTCATGTGAACAACTACAAACTAAATATTCGCCAAATAAACATGGAGACCGTGAAGATATCGTTTGTACGTAGTCCTGTGAGTTTACATGAAACTACCCCAATGTTACGTCATATGTGATCACAAAACTTTGTCTTTACTTCAACATACAATCGACAACTTTTGATGCCATTATATGTAAATTCACTAGAAATTTTTGTTCGCATGAAATTAGGATCATCCATGTTGCCTATTGTATTAGTCTTCTCGTATTTTTCTTGATGTTGCATAATTTAGAAATGATTGCCTCTGTTTACTGGATCATTGTACTTCAATGACAGTTAGCTTGAAATACTGCATTTTTGACTGTTATTACTTTATTCGCCGAGTCAACTATTTACAAGGGATAAAGATCAAGTTTAGCACTTTCGAAGAACAGTTATTTCGATTGGGAAATTTTATTGCTTGCTTTCTAAGTAAATCAATAACTAATTGCTCGTCATCGGAATAAATTGAAGTAATTGATCCTGCTCTTTTGATGCGGGTTGACTGCATGTAATAGGTTAAACTGTTGAGGCGTTCTACATTGGTGTGTTTTATACGTGTTTTAACTTCTTCCAGTATAGCTTGTTTATCGCGTTGCTATGTTTCTATTCATTTGATAAGAGTGTGATTATTGAGTCTACTTCCATATAGAAGATAAATCCAGGGTAATAAAGATTCTAAACGTTACTCTCAAAGTTGATTGAAGATTGATCGGATGGAATAGAACTTTCACGCTTATTTCGGTGAATAGTTGGTCGTCTAGATGTAAATATATCCTTCAATATTCGACCTACCTTCTACATAAGATTTAAGATGATTTGTTGAGAAATACACTTATTTCTGTGTAGCTTAATAGTATACAAGCCTAGTAATGCTTAGTGCTACTGAAAAAGCACAAAATATGAGATCTTAGTTCTAGCATGCTTTTTGATACTCGTTATATCATAATTTCTCATCCCGTAAGCATAGTGATAATTATATATTGATCGTTATTTCTTTAAACATGATTTGAAAGGCTTTGACAACTGTAAGTGTAACGTTTCCTAATACACTATATTTATCAATACCATATTATTATGTAACATTGTTTATTTCATTCAAATATGACAAACCGAAAACTTTTAGTTCATGAATACCTGAAAAGTGAAAGAAAATTAGTGCTTCTTATTACAGATTATTCAAAATCCAATGTTTTGTAACACTAGATTTTTATAGAAAATAAGCCAAGTTGTTCAGATGTTTTTCGAAGATATGGCTCAACAATTAAATGACAGAAGAAAGGGGTTTTTGTAGATATTATAGTAATCTAATAGTTGAGATCATGAGCCAATTAAAACTAGACCACCTTGGAAAACCTGAAAGCACTGGACGGCCGTTTCGTTCTATTGTGGGACATCTCAGCATTGCTCATCCATTAGCGGGATTCGAACACAGGATATGTATTCCGAACTGATGTAAATTGGTCAAGGAAACTCGCGAGGTGAGATCATGGATGTGCACTGCTGATGAGTCCCACAATAGGACGAAACAGCCATCCAATGCTTCCAGGTTTTCCATGGTGGCCTAGCTTCAAATGACTCATGATCTCAACTATTAAACTAAATGAGAGTTTTGCACGTAAATAAAGTGAAAAATGATTAGCATAAGTTGTTCTTTGTAGACAACTTCACAGTAATTTACATTCTGAAACTGTTCATTTCAACGTGAATAACGTAGACCCGTACAACAAAACTTTTGAACGTACAAAATGATCCAATTTAATTAGAGACATTTTTAGCCATGTTAATAAATTATCCCTCATATTTATGTATAATATTCCTTCATTGATATTTGATATCTCTTGATCTAATACCTCTTAAATATGGGATTTCTAGAGATGAAATATTTTGGAGAGATTATTCTGAGATGTTCTGATGTTTGGGCGAAGATGATAATGGTTAGCTGTTTGTTTAGTCAAACTTGTAGATAGTCTAACAGGTGTTAGATGAGTTATGAATACTCCTATCCTTATTATTACTGAGATTGTTGTCGACTTTTTAGTGTGGAAATATATTTACATTCTAGTCAGGCTATTCACTCGTTCTTGATGTGAGTCGTGTTGAAGTCCTGTAGAATAAACACCGGAAGAGAATCTGAAGTAGATATTCGTCTCAAGCAAATTAACGTCCCATTCATAAAAATGAAGAATATTCGATCGCTATAAAATTTTCTCTTATAAATCTCCGGTTGTTGGTACTTCGTTATAAGAGTTCATTTATAGATGTAACTAGAAAAATGTTTTCTTTTCCAGGTAAAACAAAGTGTTACGGAATGAACGAACGGTGAATTCCTGTAACAGATTGCTCTTTGCTCTATCAAGTTTCTTCAGTCGTACGCTAAATACGATGTTAGAATTCAACATTTCATTACGTTATTGTTTTATTATTTTGCTTATTTATTAACTGTAATTAAAGAATAATAACTAACTGAAATCAAATAAATTCATAATACAATTTGCAAATCGTTTATATTTTCAACGTGACAATGCTTCTATCCTCAAAATTATACCTCAACAATCCGTCGACCATGTCGTAGTGACCAGTGGCGTCGAATCCGCATCGGGTATGTGACAGTTATCCATCTTAGACAATAGATGAAGGGTCATGCAACATCACGTTAGATACTAACATCGTTGTATGCCGTCTCAGAAGTTTCGAGGATAAGCGTTTGCATGCGAGACCGAAGGATCTGAGTTCGAGTTATGCGTGCTGAATCACAGTTGCGTACTGCTGAAAAGCCTCATACTTGAGTGAAACATTTTTAGATACGACTGTTTTGTGAACACCCTGACGATAACATACAAACTGAACGGATAAATTTAATCGATATGAAACATGTTTGACATAGATTCGCGTCAGGTAGATGAAAAAAATAACTAGCGTTGGTATTACTTGACAAACATCCAGTAAATGTCGTCAACCTTGCTGTAGATTCATGTTGAGGTAGCGTACCACCAATATCTGTAGAATGAAGAACTTTATCGAGTTACAGATAACTTACAAACAGGCAAACCGAAGTCCTGAGTTCAAACAATAAATGTGTACAAGTTCTTCTCGCCAATGTAAATATGCAAAAACATTATCACCCTTTCGCCAAGTGAATATTTAACTTCATGTTAGTTAAAACATCTAGCAGTATACTATTTATTGTTTCAGTATTTTAAAAATTTAAATAATCGCTTTGCTATTCAAGGTAACATGAGTCGTTTCTACAAGATGTACTTATGTTTCTGACATTGCGGAATAATAAACAACATACCTCAATATCTGATGTTCACGTAATTACGTAGTAGTCGTGGTGAAAATGTGTCTACATCTGAACCACTAACGAAATTGTAGAAACCTTGAAACGCTAAGATGTAAATAAGTCGGAGTCTCTCATCCCGTTAGTTATATTATTCCTAATTTAAAGTATGAGTGTTTTTAGTTTCACGTAAAGGTTTAATATTTATCATGGAATAAGAAACGGAAATTCGCTGAAATACTTTGAGCTGAGAATTCTATATTATACCAAAACTATGATATTGAATATACCCATTAATAATTATTATTATTTATTTCACCCTAGTGACCAGCTTTGTGAGGGAATTCTTGGAGTTCTAATGGGAAGCCGCGACTAGTGGTGCTAATCCGTGTCGGGTAGAAACAGGTATCTACCTCAGTAAGATGGTCGTATAATTTCCTGTATTGTTTGAGGTTAGAGATTAACACCATCGGATGCCGGCTCAGTGGTCTAGATGTTAGGCGTTCTCGTGCGAGACTGAAGGCCCTGGGTTTGGATCCCACGAGCGGGATGGTAGACGTGTGCTACTGAGGAGTCCCACAATAAGACGAAACGACCATCCAGTGTTTCCAGGTTTTCATTGGTTGTCTAACATTGATCGATTCATGATCTCAGTCAAAACTCAACAATCTCCACAACCCTATACTGGAAATAAACTTTACTGAATAAAACAAATCATCAACAACAAAAAATTTTCCTTTCACCAAATGCATATGACCGAATAAAAATTATGCTATAGTTGCAAGATACTACTATTTAATAGTTGAATTTATGAGTCAATTAAAGCTAGATCACCATAGAAAACTTAGAAGGACTGAACGACCGTTTCGTTCTAACATAGGACTCCTAAGTAGTGCACATTCATAATCTTGACTTTTTAATTAACCTTAAATAAAAATGAAATAATGATCACTTCAACAATAAAATTTCAGTTAGTAGGTCAATTAGCTTCTATGTAACAATAACTTCCATATCACCAAAAAATGATTTAGTTTTGATCAATTTACATAAACTACTACAACTGTAAATGTACATTTTATAGGATGAAACTGTATCCCTATTTACTTTTATTTACACGAATACTATTCAACTATCAGACATTAAGACATATATTCTTCAATACAAATACATACACACAATTGTAAGTGAACACGGAACTGAGACAACGTTGAAATCCTTGATAGATGCAACTCAAAAAAGATAGAATAATCTTTGAAGCATGAGAATTAATCCAGTCATCAGATGATTTCAAATCATTTTGTGTTTTAAATAATCAAAGAGGGGAGGGAGGAAAGACTGGTATTATTATTTTCTCTTTCGAATAACTATTTCAACTATTTCGAAGTTATTTCCTCTAGTTTCCAAGATGTCTTCGTCAGGATTTCTAAACTTACCTAACAATGAAAATGCTGATTTTCTGTTATTTTCCTTAAAATTACCCAACACAAAACCACTGGTCTTAGAGTCATCTTGGAATGAGCACTAAAATTAATCACTTTCTATTATGTTTATCTTGACATTCATTCAACAATACGTCTAAAGTGAATGTGTGGAGGTCCGTAGTTTGATTTTGTCCTCATTTAGATCGACGATATTCGTTGAACGGCTCTCCATTTTAGTGGCCCGTTGGATCTGACTCCAAGATCGTATAAATGTTTGCTATCGCCTATTCTCGTATATCATCGTCGACTTGAATCGCATTAGTCAATAACGGAACTAAATAAGTCGAATAACGAGAATTGACTTGAGAATACATATATTTTGTACATGAAGCGAATGAAACAGCAAAGCAAAACGACACACAGGGAACATGGCTGAGAAGCCAACTCCATTTTAGTCAAGCGTTACTCAATATTTATAGTCAGAGAAAATAAAGCTACAGACATTTGATTAATGGAATAAGAAGGGCACACACATATACGCTCATGTAAAAACAGTCTAGATTGATAAGCGAATAAATAACAAGGTCAAAGTATGGCTCGAGTAGGATGAATAAAATGGGATGTCCGAAAGTTAGAATAAAGTATATGGGCTTGGCATAATAACTGACACCACAAATGCATATAAAGTAGTTTTCTCGAATAATCTTTCGTCATGTAAACATGTTATGACTAGATCAGCTGACCGATGATCGACATTCATTATTCTACTATATACAATGATACTGAAATCTCTTTAACCACTTACCTTATTGTTTCACTAAGTGAAAACTGAATATTTTTAGTACTATATGTGGACTTATATTTTTATACCAATTTCTAAATGCTGGACATTTATACTTAAAGATGAGAGTAACAACCAAATGTTCATCCACGATGCATCGAAATCTTAGAGCAGGAATTCTGTGGACCACGTTGTCACCCCTAGATGATTGACAACGAAGTACGATTTTCATTTATAATCTTGAGTAACATACTGTTTCGTATTTCTCTGGAATTATCTTCCATATATGCTTCACCACAAAACCCCAGATTTTGTAAAGCTTAGTGTTGTTAAACTATAACATCTGAAAAGATACACTAAGTAGGACGTGCAAAATGTAATCCATAACCAGGATGGTAAATCGTTGATTAGACTTACTATCTTGATGGCAATGTCGACGACCTAAATTCAAAAATATGTTCGTTGTTGATTTTAGTCAATCATACTATGGATTATGAGAGTAAGTCGTCGAAACACAAGATAAATTCGTCGAAAACGGACACTTACATTCTTCGTCTATGAAAAGTAAAGTTAAATAAAATGATAACTTGTAGCCAACTTCATAACTTTGACATTCTATTTATTCTAAGCAGAGATGGATAGTGGCTAGCAGTGGAACCCGGAACTCGCGTTTCCTCCTATTTGGAACTCTTCAGCTGGACGTACCTGCATCGCAGAGTTCATTCTGGGACAATATGCACAGTATGCACATATGCCAATAAAAAACTGATTAATTGCAGTCCTAACAATAATGGCAAGATTCAAGTAAACAATACCAAGTGAATTTAAACTTCACCTCATCGCACAAGCAAGTGGCTAACAGGAATCAGTATTTAAGTGGATAACATGATGGCGTGTGAAGCGAACTGTACTTGGTTGGAATCCCAGAGTGAATATCAACTCTGAGATGCAGGTACAACCAGATGATGATTCCCAAATAGGAAGGAACGCGCATTCTGTATTCCACTGCTAGCCACCACCCATTTAAGCTCATAATGCTTGTGAATTAAGGCAATTGCGATGCTATCCGTACACCATAAATATATGCCAATACGAAACTGATCAATCGCAATCCTTAACGTCAATGGGAAGATCCAAGTAAACAATACCAAGTGAATTCTATTTATTTTTTAAACATTACTCCTCTTATTCACTGTTAAAATCACAGTATATAAGTTCATTTGATTCCTTAAATCGAATATAACTAAGATCATTGGGTTTTATACTGATTTTGATGCATTTCGACTGGCAACTCACAATATAACACTATTCACACAAGATCTTATCTGTGTTTTAAATTTTGCACTACTGATTCAGTTAACACAATATGTCAACATATCTCACTAGGATATTCGTAGAACCCATTTCAAAGGTAGTTTCACTACGATAATCATTTTACTAATATTTTGTATTATCTGAAAACAAATTAATTTCAACTAAGTAACCTCTGAAGTACAATAAACCATTGACTGATAGTTTTATTTTGAATTTTTTAATTGTCTGCACACATTACTACAACAGGGATTGAATTCAGTAACTCTTCATAGACATCATGTGCATACGTTATCATATAGGTACCCTCATCTCAAATGGAACAGAAAAGGTATACTTATATTATCAAGAGTGAAAAGACAAATTGATCTCTTGAGTGATTTCATACAGATTAAATGTTCCTACATAGCCATACAGGTAATAAGTGATTTAAATGTTAGTGGGCTTTTGTGAATAAATCTATTCAAGGTCTCCAGTCATACATTCATTCTTGACCCACCCAATAATTTATATATATGCACTCATTAGTTGTGTACTACATTTGACCAAAGGTATAAAATGTCCTGTACATTATTAGTCCTTCGGCTGTTTATAGATTTTTCAGTAGAT